AAAAAAAAAAACTGAAGGTACAGAGTCATAAAAAGGTATCCTGTGGAAGTTTCTTGTAAATAAAAGTTTAAAAAATGACCAAAGAGTATATTAAGATCCTTTAATATTTATACCTGCCACATTAAGTAAGGTCAAAGACAGTTTAAGAGTTTTCATCATAATAGCAAATGACAAAGCAAGCAAAGCACCAGATGAACACCAGTCAACACAGAAGCCAGGACAAAACATCTGAATAAAACACACATTAGCAATACAATCGAACTGACAGAGTCTACTGTACAGTACCTCTTGTACTCTCCTTTTCAGATAGCAGATTGTTAACAGAAACAACAGATCTTCCTGAAAAACAAGGTGCCACCCTTCTCTTCTCCTCTGCCCTCTCACCTGCTTTGTCTTCACTTAAAACTGCCAACAAATCCTCCCAACAACAGGCTGGGGAGGCCTCAAACTCAAGCTGATGAAATTTCAGTGAAATCTTCTTGCTGATGAAATAACATCCTAGACTTTCATTACCAAACAAAGTCACCACTTGATATTAGAATTGCCCATGATTTGGACAAGTTTCATACACTTTTAAAGACACACTTGTTCTCCCATAAGTTATCCACACTATGTTCTCCTGTTCTATATGGTGTGGATGCTGGAACAGCAGCATCCACACTCTTGTTATCTTCTTATTTATTCTGTGGATGAGGTAATACATCCACACTGTTCTTTATTGTGTGGATAAGCATCCACACTGTTATCCTGTTCTTTATTGTGTGGATGCATTACTGCATCTGTTAGGGTGATTTTTATTTTATGCACTTAAGAATGGTTTTATTTTATAACACACATAAGTTTACATACTTATATGTTACAGATATGCTTATATAGTTATGAATATCACTTTATGTGTTCACTTAACTACTGGTCAAATATCTGCTGTGTGAGTCACTGAAACATTAATGCAACATCATAAGTCTAGTCCACTAAATTACTGAATTTCATTAGATTTATGGCTGTAGCTAAGGGAGCTCATAGTTACTCATCGTTCCTTACTGATCACAGTCCAAGCTATGGCAGCTCACTCACCTTTATAAACAGTGACATAACAGCAGGTGCCATCTAGTTTTTCTGTAGCCAGTGCATGGCCAATATCAGCTTCCAGAGCAGCAGGGTCCACACTTTCAGTAGCAGCAACCTGGACTTTCTGCAGCCAGACAGATGACATACAAGTTTGAGACAGATAAGTGAAGAACAAGGTTTCACTGTTATTCCTGTGATTATTATAAGAAACACCGTTGAGCCACTTTTGCCCAAATGAATCATTCAGCTATAAGATATCAACCAGATTTTTGATACAAGTCCTGAAATAAAGTGATTTCTTCTCATTGAGTGCAATACTATGCTGTGATATTTAGTCCCGTTCCATCAACACGCCGTGTTCAGGTGCAGCCAGGCTGCTGCTCCATGCTAGCAGCACTTTGGTACTGATCATAAATCAATGGCTGCTGTGTCGCAGCACCGCTCACCTGGCCGTCTCGTTTCTTCGATTGTTCTTCTTTCATCTCGGTCAGAAAAACACACGGTATCTTCTGCTGAACAGCCCCCAGACGTCGTATTGTGGCTGTTTCTGTTAAGTTCCCCACCCCAGATGTCCTCCAGACACGTTAGTCCCTTTCCCTGAGCAAAGCGGAAATTGAATGTTCAGCATGTATATGGAGCAGATTGCTGGTCACGTGAGTCCTTCTTCTTCATTTTTTTTCGGTTGACAAACAATGAAGTGGCTCATTAGCGCCGCCACCACCCCGTGTCTCAGTCTAACAACACAATTCTTGTGTTACAATCTCTAATATCAAACTTTTAACAATTATTAATCATTACTATGTTTTATATGTGAAATGTCATTTTAATGCAACATTACAGACTTTTCAGATTTTATTTCCTAAAATACTATACAACACCACTCAGATTGAAAGCAAAAAATTCACCATGGCAGTGTTAACAAAAGGAGGACATTATAAACTTTGAAAAGAAATATTTTATGGATTAGATAACATTTGAACATTGACTTTAACCCACACATACTACAGTAAGGCATATTTTTCAGGAGAGGGTTGTATGAAATGAAAAGAACGAACCTGTGAAAATGGTCAACATCTGTACCCATATATTTGTCTGCAGAGATGATGGGACTGTCCATTCCAGGTCCCTTAAGTCTTCCATGATGCAGAAGGGAGGACTGTTCTGCCCACTGATGTGTGTGGAGTTCTGTATTAGTAGGTGCTCGTGATGCTCATCCACAGGTTCCACCACAGGCTAAGCTGTAGACAGAGGTGAAAATTGGTGTGAGCCTCTTGTTTCATGTGAAAACACCCTGTAAAATAACCTGTCAAAACTGTGCATGTTTTCAAAATGGAATTAATTGTCCTTTATGCACTAAATCTATGTGCGCATTCACTGTTATATCCGTTTACATCTGCTGTTTTGTTTTGCACGTTTACAGGAACTGTAGTTTTAAGACTGATTGCGGTTGTTACTCAGATTGATACAAGACCAAGAATGATGTTTTTTTTTCATTATAAAATCCCATTCTCCAAATGTAAATAGTGGAGAAAATGAGTGAGCAAATTAATACTTTGGCCATATTATGGTTAAGATGCCTTACATTTGGTGCCACCCTCAGGTCAAACATTTTTTTATCCATCATAGCTGCAGACATTTAATTAGCAGATCTAGATTTGCATGGTTAAAGGCTCCTGATGTGGTACTGCAGCTGGAAACCTTCAGATATCCGTCTCAGAGTAGAAGAAATAGTGAGAGAGAAGAAAAAATGACTATAAATAGATTCACAAGGTGTGCCCTGTGCAACTTTAATCTTTTTCCCTTCTAATTTAAAACTAAATGTAATCTTTATATAATTTATTTTAAATTTACAATCAAACAATCAATGTAATCATACATAAAATGTTTCATAATGGACAACTCTACTGACATTACCCATAAGTTAATTTAAAAATAATAAATGAAAAAAACCTTCCAAATCGATATGAAATACAGTGTTAGACAACAGCACTGGTTACAAAAGACCAGGCTGAACCCCACTTTCTACACATACACACACATTTCTGCCTCCGCTCTACAGGTAAGGTGCTGCTGCCTCCCCACCCCCACCTAAATTTCCATCATCATCTGCACACCGAGCATCACGACATGTTACAAGTTCTGAGGACGAGAAATGGTAAATGGACTGTATTTATATAGCGCTTTTATGCACTGGCCAAAGCGCTTTACAGGGAGATCATACACCATTCACCCATTCACCCACCGATGACGACAAGGCTGCCACACAACAGCGCTAGTCAAGCCACCGGGAGCAATTTGGGGTTCAGTGTCTTGCTCAGGGACACTTAGGCATGTGGGGAGACCTGGAGTCGAACCACCAACTTGCTGGTCAGAAGACGACTGTCAATTTAAAGCGCACAGTGCTATTAACTTATGTTAAAAGCCAAAATGTAAACTGGCTGATGACTCAACTGCCAAACATCCAGAAGCCCCATTCAATAACAGTATGACAGACAGAGCCGATACTTTTATTTTGAAAACTTGTTTTTAGTTCTTTGCCTGCTTGTCAAACAGATCAGTTTCATGCTTCCACAGATGGATGGAGTGTTAAACGATACAGTTTATTTACTGTGCTGAACTGAGGAAGAATATCGCACAACAACTGGAATTTTCGTTTGACAATACGAAATGTTATTTCCCAAAGATGCGGACAGGTTTCAGAGAAAGGAGAAGAAACAAGAAGTCAGCGTGTGGCATTATCATCATGTTTCCCCTCAGTAACAACTTCAGCCAATCATTTAAAACAGTGCAGTTTTTCGGTTTTGGCGTCCTACAAGTTATGGAAACTGAAGCCATTATAACAAGATCAACAGTTAAAAAGTCAGTGTTTGAGAAGAAAATTAGATTGTTTTCTTTTCCAGTAACAGAGTAAACAACAGAACCTGGACACTTTATCCTTCTTTCTTTCTTTACATACACGTCAACCCGCTTTCTTACTGGACAAACGGACGGGACTCTCTCTCTCTCTCTGGCTCAGACACACAAAAGTCTTAGGCTTTCACTTTTTTCCTTCTGAAAAGGAACAATTATATTTTTGAAATACAGTACAGAGTAGTATCTCTCCACCTCCCCTTCTCTCTCTCTCTCTCTCTCTCTCTCACACACACACACACACACACACACACACACACACACACACTAAAGCCAGCTCTTTTAGACCTAGCATCCTCTCAGTTCTCATGGTAACTCGGCTGGAATGTAGTGGCACTCAGGACACACACGTATTTCACAGCTAAACAACACAGTTGTCTGAAGGATGGACAGGTCAGGTGTGTGTGTGTGTGTATGTGGGAGTCAGGGAAGTGAGTTTTGTTTGTTTTAAACAGGAGCCTAGAGGATTTAAGGTCCCTCATTTGCGGTTCATTCTGACCTTTGACCCCAGCCAGGCGACCTCAGCAGAGACAGGACAAGGACGAGGCACACAGACCATGAAAAGAGGTGTTTCTTTACAGGGTATGGAGTCGTGTGTGTGTGTGCGTTGGGGGGGGGGCATGCATCTAAGTGGTGTTTGTAGGTGAAAATGTGTTTTTGTCTGATCTTTGCATGTGTGTAAACACTGCATTCCTCATGAGTGTATGCCTTCATCCCATGACCTCCTTGTGTCCTCAGCAGCCAGAATAGTAATTAAGTCTTTTATCATTGTCTTTTCCCTCTCATGGCCGATAAGTCTCTGGGGGGGGCGCAGTCAGTGAGGTTCAAGGTCTACAAGGCTGAAAAGTCAAATGGAAAAAAACAGGGTCCAAATGTCAGAGGTCGGAGCTGTCCAGAAGGCGCACCTCCTCCTCCTCCTCCTCCTCCTGGCTGTCGTCTCCCCCTCTCCTCCTCACCCCATCCTGGAAGGAGCAGATCAGTTGAACATGATGGATTCGGGATCTTGATTTGCCATTTGAGCCATGTGACGAAGGATATCTTTTTTTGTAATAATACCAAGCAGCCGCCTGCAGGGGGAGACAAAGGAGCGGAGGAGAGAGAGAAAAAAGGTTAAGTAACTGAGGTGCCTGTGGTTCGTAACATCATCATGTTTTTGTTGGCAAACAGAAAGAAAGTGTTTCATTGGAGAAAAACACATGGTTTCAACTTGATTTGATTTGTTCATATCTGAAGCCAACGAAAACACGAGTCCCTGAAGAAACGAGGAAGAGGTGAGAAGAAAGAGGCATGAAAGCAGGTCAGAAACAGCAGCTGACTGTGCACGTCAGAGCAGAGCGTCATTCCAGACACTGCTCCGGCCGTTTCATGTTATCGCTCCAAAAGGGAGCTGGTGAGCAGGAGGAGGTGGATCCTACAGGGGAGAGTGGAAGTGGTAAACAGGATGCAGAGAAAGGTTAGAAAGAGAAGACAACCCTGTCACAGGAGTCACATGCATCCTCTGTATTTTTAATGCGAACTACGTGGCTCCTGTGTGATCACGACTGACACAAGATCTGTAGCATTTCTAGAATAACTGAACAAAATGGCCACATACTGTTTTACCTTTCAAGCCAATAAGTAAACACTTAACAGGATATTCCAATTTATTACAATCTTTTATATTTCACCTTCCAGATCAGTCACAATTTTGATGAAGTCACAACTTACTTAACATTAACTTGGTGTTAATGTTATTTCAGACAGGAATGATGGTCACAACTGCAACAATAAGACTCGAGGTTTGCTATTTTATGACCACTGTGACAATATTTCCACAAAGATGTGAGCAACGTCTGACTCCTGTGACAAACCTGTGTCTGTCTCCTGTAAAACACACCTACCTCACTGACCCGCCAAACCAAGTGTGGGTCTGAGTTAGTAACACGCTGCTAAATATCCAGTCAGTCAAGATTATTCTCACTGATTCAAGAGCACACTGTTGAGCAAGCTACTCATAAAATATCTTCTTAAAAAGGCTCTTTACCATTAGAAATGATACAAAGCACTGACACGGTGCTCTTGAATTCAGGCCTGAATGCAGTCTGAGATCAGGCGAAGATTTAAAAACAGCTGATAGCGGTGAAGAGAAGCAGAGCCGGGTCCAAAAAAAGCTTTAGTGCACATTGATTTCATACAGTCAGCTGGACACAGAGAGTTCATGTGCTGTTAGATGTTCAGCTTCATCTGAGCCCTAGAAGTGTACCCGGCATGGAAACAAACATCTGAACCAAGGTCTGGGTGAGAGGAGGCATGAAACACTGGTGAGACGCCACACAGCTCAGACGTGCTGAGATCTATGACTGCCCGGTTCATTTGCTCAGCAGTGAAACAAACTAAGACAGTGACAGAAGCTTGGGACAGGAGGTTACAGATCACAGAGTGGATTGGTGTGGAGGGTCAGGAGAGCCGAAGGCAGTGTTCCCTGTAAGTCAGCAGTGTTCAGGCCTTTTTAACAGTTCTACTCAGGTAAACTCAGCAGAAAGTGAAAACAGTACTTAAGAGGTCCAAGTCAAATTTAAGCCCCTTTAAATGCTACCTAGAATGAAATTTGAGACTAGGTTATAAAATAATAAAGCTGTAAGACTGTAACATGTAAAGAATAAAATGACTTCTAGATTATGCTGTATAATATCGTGTCTATATTTTATATACCCATATATAAAACCTTATTATATCTGCAGTATATTATATTAGAGATCCACTGTACCAGACTCAAACGACTTGTGTTCAATATACTTGGCAAATAAATTACGATTCTGATTCATCTTCTAAGTGTGGACACAAAGCACACAAAACCTTTCACAACAAGGTTGAGAAAAAAAAAAAAACGAGCTTTCCTCCTGGGCTTGTGACACTTTACAGAAGTATTTCTTTATTTTTCCTGCTCATTCTTCTTCTTTTTTTGTTTAAATTTATGAGTGCACTGCTCCACAATGTTCTACATGCCGTTGTGTCGTATGGGGACGAACCCATTATTGTTGGTTTCAAGTAAGAGTATCCACTCATGGGTACCAGTAGTAATTAGTATTTACATTGTGTGCTTGTATGAATGTGCCTGATGAAGCACGAAGTGTAACGCCGATACGTGATCCATGCATGCAGGGCTAACACATAGACGAACAACCACACATACACGCACGCACTCCTATGGGCAATTTAGAGACACCAATCAACCTAAGCTGCATGTCTTTGGTCAGTGGGAGGAAGCCGGAGTACCAGGAGAGAACCCACGCAAGCACGGGGAGAACATGCAAACTCCACACAGAAAGGTCGCTAACCACTGTGCCACCGTGCTGCCCTATTTGTTGGTTTCAAGTAAGAGTAAAGTTTTCCACTCATGGGTACCAGTAGTAATCAGTATTTACATTGTGTGCTTGTATGAATGTGCCTGATGAAGCACGAAGTGTAACGCCGATACGTGATCCATGCATGTTTATGGGTTCAATTTGGTGTCACTACAACACACAACATAAAGCAAACCACTGACTTTAAGAACCTAAATGCATCTATCTGGGGGAAAAAATAGCTTTTGTTCATACAGCAAAGATGTTTCCCTTTGTCAGGACACATCTGGCTTAGAGGAAACACTGGCAGGTTAGTTAATACTCCACCAAGGTCATGTTATCACACCATGTTGACCGGCTCGGTCACTACTAGCACCGATCAACACAGCAGGATCACTCCACCACAGTGTTCACTACCACTACAGAACAAGAGGAAACACTACAGATCTTCTCCCTTTCCCTCCTCTCTAACAACAAATACCAGCCTTTACAGAAATTCAACAACAGGTTGCTACTCGCCACGTGGTTGTCAAGGCGATGGGATGTCCTCTCTCTGTGGAGACCCGGGGCGAAACCAAAAAATGAAGTAAAAAAAAAAACATTGTCATTAATGAAGATAGTAAACTGAGAGTGAGCGAATATTTTCAAAATGACCATCTAATGCTATGACAGGAAGATGGGAAACACAACCAGTGTGGTCACATGACTACAAACATGGTGAGAAATTATATTTACTAGTGAAAGTCTGATTGGTTTTACAGTGTCAGAATACTGCCAGGACACATCTAGGCTTAAAGTCACGATAAATCAGAAACCAGGAAAACGTCAGAAGTAGGGGTGCAACGGACACTAAAACTGGATCATATCATTACTGGGATCAGAAAACAAAAATCTTAATCAAATATTCAATATTAATTTGACAAATTAACCTAGCTAAATAGTTTTGTGAGCCTGATTGTAATGAAAGTGTGACAGTTTCCTACTATAAATGGTTTGTGTACGACTGTTTCCACGACGATGAAAGTCTGTAAAACTTGCCGGTGCGATGTATGTTGTTGTTAATTTTGGCATGAACACCTGTGTGTATCTTTTCACTGGAACTCCGCATTAAGATTTAGGGAATTATTCTTTTAAAAAGTAACAAAGGCAGTAAAACTGTACTAAACACTATAATTTTTAAACTTTGCAGTTCAACCACGTATGGATCAACTACATTCCGTTACACCACTAGTCAGAAGATGCAGTTTGATCTTACGAAAGTGTGAACATAATGCAGCTGACACAGCTCAAAGCCAAGCTAGAGGTAGCTACACATGGAGTTTCAAAGGTGTGAGCTGCAAAGCTGCTTCTGGGAATCTACTGAGCCCTTTTCAGACATGTAACACTGCCGGTCTCAACTACCTGTTCAACTAATGGATTTTTGGCATTCAAACAGACTGTGAGGCTCAAACAATGAGGTTGTGATGTGACATTGAGAAATATTTTAAAGGTGTGTGTGGTTTTGACTCACCACAGTAGCCATTTTTATTTCATTTATTAGATAAAATCAGAATTCTGCAGCCTGTTTTATACTGCTCACCCTTCTTCTGGAGCTCCATAAGCTTGGTTTCACGTTAATGAACCCACTGACAGTTCAGTAGGATTTTAAGATTTCATGTTGACTTAAAAAGTTTGTTCATTTCTGACCTGGATGTGGTTGAACAGCGATGATTTTTTTAAAACAAGTCATTCATTAAAAATCTCTCTAGGTTTACTTTTTGTGCTGCTGTAATGTGGCGGCATTCAACTCACACATAACCTACACTGGCAATAATATCAATGCTATGAGGCCCCACCTAGTGAGTGCTGCCACAACCTTTACAGTAAAACAACTCTGGGGCTCAATCAAGCATTAAACTGCCAGCACATGGACAGAACGTAACGAAGCACATGTCTGAAAGGGGCTCTTGAGGGATGTAGATGAGCGTTCCCACAGAGGTCCACTGTGGAAGTACACCCCCGCCAAAACATTTGAAGGCCCTTGAACCACATTTAAAGCTATACTCAGTTTGCAACTCCGTATTTGAGAGTACACAGGCACAGATTTGTAAGTGCACAATCAAATTTCAGAACGTAACCCCGGCCATGTGTGCGCTTATTTCTGAGTCTGTGATCTCAGACTTTTGCCACTAAGTTTGGTGTGAAATTCTGGTGGTGCCAATAGTTTTGAAAGCACACAAAATATGTTTCCAGCGCTATTCAGTTTGCAAGTCACAATCTGAGTGTGTGTAGACATGGTTCTGTAACAGCAGAATCCGATCTGACAGCAGAGGAGGACAGAGCATAACAGATGATTAGAGTGAGCAGCAGGATCCTTTGTTCTCAAATCTGTGCCTGTGTAGTCTCACGTTCTGATCTGCAAACTAAATAGCTTTTGAAACTTGTTTTGTGCCCATTCAAAACTTTGGGCACCAACAAACTTTCACACAACACCCAGAGGAGAAATTTGGGAGTGCAGACTCAGAAACAAGCGGATGTGTGTCCAGGATTACGCTCCGAAATGTTACTCTGCTTACGAATCAAGTGCCTGCACGCTCTCAAATGCCGAGTTGCAAAGTGAATAGCACTTGAAATGCGGTTCATGCACCCTCAAACGATTTGGCGGAGATTTACTTCTATATCCAACATTATAGGACTCACAAAACACAAGGAAGATCTGCTATTTGTTACTCTAAAACGGCAACAGCTACCAGTGGTGAAGATGGAGGGGAGAGAATGTCTATTTACAGATGTTTCTTTAAGATGAACAACTTCATCAGAGGTGAATCCACACTGACCAAACCAACTCACAAACAACAGAGTGCGAACAGTAAGAAAGAAGAAGAGAAGCTGGGAACTGTCAGTTTTTCACACCAAGTTTCATGCATCCCTCCTAAGAGCCTAAGAGACAGGTACAAAAGTGAAGGAGGAAGGGG